CCGAGACTGTTGACGTTAAAGTCGTAGAAATGTGGGAATGTGAGTGGGGGAACCAGAAAAAAATGAACCCAACTATTAAAGACTATTTAAACTCTATTGACAAATCACAAAAGACACCGACACCGACCTATGGTAAGAAATGGCCCCTGACTGAAAAACAGATCATCGATTCTGTTTTAGACGACTCGTGTTTTGGACTGATAGAATGCGACATTAAAGTACCGGATAGTTTAAGAGAACATTTTAGTGAGATGACACCAATTTTTAAAAATACGGACGTTACGCGCGACGACATCGGACCGTTTATGAGACAATACGCGATCGATAACAACTTATTAACTAGCGGTAGACGGACTTTAATCGGTAGCTTTACAGGGGAGAAAATTTTATTAGCGACCCCCCTTTTAAAGTGGTATTTAAAACATGGGTTGGTAGTCAGTAAAATTTATCAAGTCGTTGAATATAATCCGGTTGCATGTTTTAAGACATTTGGGGATACAGTTTCAGACGCGCGAAGAAAGGGGGACATAGACGACAAATACGCAATAACTAGTGAAACAATGAAATTGTTAGGAAACGCGGCATACGGTAAAACTTTGACGGATAAAACACGACATGCGGACATGACCTACTGTAGTGATAGGGATATAGGGGATTGTATTAATAATCCGCGATTTAAAAAAATGACAAAACTTACCGACGCTGTTTACGAAGTAGAAACGTTAAAAAAGAAGATAGTTTGGGATCTCCCTCTTCAGATAGGCTTTTTTGTTTATCAGTACGCGAAACTTAGGATGTTAGAATTTTATTATGACTTTATAGACAAATATATAGATAGAACCGACTTTCAGCTCTGTGAGATGGACACGGACAGTTTATACTTAGCCTTAAGTACCGATGACTTATTAAAAGCCGTTAGACCGGGACTAGAACACGAGTTTTTTGACATTTACGACAAATGGTTCCCCTCAGAAGTATGCGACTCACATAGACCACAATTTATAAGCGGCAAAGGCACGGTAGATACTCATTGTCAGGAATGTAGGGCTAGGAAAATTTATGAAAAGAGAACACCGGGGTTGTTTAAATTAGAATATGAAGGGGATGGGATGGTATCTTTATGTAGTAAGACGTACCACTGTTTTGGCGACTATAATAAAACATCAACCAAGGGATTATCTAAAAATCACAACACATTAGGCAAAGAATCTTTCATGCAGGTCCTCACAACAAAGGAACCAAGTGGTGGGACAAACACAGGGTTCAGAGCATACAACACGGGGATATATACTTACACCCAACACAGAAACTCACTTTCTTACTTTTACATTAAAAGACGAGTAGACGCAGACAATGTGACAACATCTCCCCTAGACATATAAGACCCTTTAGTTTACCAACCATGACTTTAACGACACTTTAATGTAAATATGTAAATAAGACAGAACCATGACTGTATGCTGATGGGGTTGTTTTTATTCAATAAAAAACGTATGATATAAACGGTCTTTTTTAAATTTTTGATGTGAGTTATTGTTTTGTTACTTGTCCCTGAAAGTTAGGTAACTCGGTATCCTGTATAAGATGTATGACTGGAATCAAAATGAACCATTTAAAATACTGGATCCGAGTTGGAAATATCCCTTTACCGCTCTGATCGGTGCCCCAACCATTATCACAATTCGCCCTTCCCCTTCCCTTTGTCAGCAACCCCTTCCCCCTTCTCCCATCCCTAAGCTCAATACCAACCGATAGATAAACAGATCGTACCACTACCCACACTATTCCTTGGACAGATAAAGGATGTAGGACAATCTTACAGACAAGTATTTATTCAATTAATGTCACAACCCCCTAGAAACCACTCCAACAGACTGGTATACATAACTTGTAGACACCACTCCCCAATGAATATCCCCTTCCTAAACACATTGACATTTACTCTCAAAAGTGACAATGTTCCCATCCAAACTTTTAAATCTTTCCATATACAAATAAAAACATCCACACCCAACTTTGAAATCTGCCTCGGTGAAAACTTCACCGACCCTAGTATGAACACGGCCCCTTAATCAATAAAAATTATTGATTTGTACTTTAGAATGATTAGATTGAATGATATGTATGCTAACGTCATATCATATTTAGTTTATACATCATTATTTTGGTGAAATTTAAATGTAGACATTTTAAACTGTGTGTCATTTGAGACGACGTACTATAACGTTGTTGATTTTTAAAACTTGAAGTTTATAATCTTAAGCAAATTTACCACCACCTTACCACCACCTTACCACTACTACCTTACCACCACCTTACCACCACCTTACCACCACCACCTTACCACCACCTTACCACCACCTTACCACCACCTTACCACCACCACCTTACCACCACCACCTTACCACCACCTTACCACCACCTTACCACCACCTTACCACCACCACCTTACCACCACCTTACCACCACCTTACCACCACCACCTTACCACCTTACCACCACCTTACCACCACCACCTTACCACCACCTTACCACCACCTTACCACCACCTTACCACCACCACCTTACCACCACCTTACCACCACCTTACCACCACCACCTTACAACCACCTTACCACCACCACCTTACAACCACCTTACCACCACCACCTTACCACCACCTTACCACCACCACCTTACCACCTTACCGGTTGTTCAGCCTAATTACACCACCAGCTGTTACACAGCAGCTGTTGCATAATGACCTAAGTGCTTCGCGGAGCTGACAAATCGATCGACGTACTTCGCGGAGCTGACAATTCGATCGGGGAAAAAATCAATTAAAGTGGTAACAGATGTTCCCACACTTAACGCGGAGAGGCACTTAATGTACGTCGTTAATCATCATGACCTATCAAACCTAGCGGGGAAAAATCACTGATGCATAACAAAATTTAATTAGGTGGGACATCATGCTGTGATGGCCCGTGGGTGGAATCAATATTAACGCGCCCGTTGTCCAGTGTTTGACAAAAACAAAGGATTGCGGATCGCTAAGTAACAGATGTGGTTAAATGAATGATCTATTTTCGGTAACCGTTCGTTGTGTTGCTGAATGGTCCCTATACAAAGTCCACGCTAGTGTTAGTCTTTTATTTAAAACATACATACAAGCAAATAAACAAACCAACAAATTAAACAACAAAGAAAAGAAATATATTAAATAAACAAATAAACAAAGTAATTAAAATCAAATTACGTAACTAGTTAATAATAATTTAACTAATTATAAAATAAAATTAAAAATTTAAAAATTCAAAAAATTAAAATCCAATTACGTAACTACTCAATAAAAAATTAATTAAAAAGTAAACAAATAATCAAATTACGTAACTCGTTAATAAAAATTACACAATATAAACAAAGTAATTAAATTAAACAACAAGTAAACAAATAAACAAATATAAAATTTAAAATTAAAAAAAAAATAATAATTTAAAAAATTTAAAAATTTAAAAAATTAAACTCCAATTACGTAACTCGTTAATAATAATTAAACTAATTAAAAAATAAACAAACAAAATATAAACAAAGTATTTAAATTCATTAAAATCAAACAAATAATTAAATTATGTAACTAATTAAAAAACTAATTAAAATTTAAAAATTAAATTCAAACTAATTAAATCAAACTAAAATTAATTAAAATTTAAAAAACAAAATACAAACAAAGTAATTAAATTACGTAACTAATTAAAAAACTAATTAAAATTTAAAAATTAAATTAAAACTAATTAAAAACGCATTAAAATTACGTAACTAGGTCAGTGATTACGTCACAAAGTCACTAATTACGTCACAAGGTCAATGATTACGTCACAAGGTCACCAAAAGGTGACCTACTTCCCCACCACCTCCGCCAACCCCAGTTGGCGTAGTATTTTACTATATGTCGTTGTCCCGCCTGCGCATCCTGCTCCACCACCCTCCACATCCCGATGCGCCAGGCTGGGAGTATTTTGCTATATGTCATTGTCCCGCCTCACCATCCTGCTCCCGAGTATTTTGCTATATGTCATTGTTCCTCCACATCCCCACCTGCGCCAAAAATAATACCCAAAAGGGACCTAATATACTACTTAACTAGTTTCTGTCTATAACGATAACTAGTTTCTGTCTATAACGATAACTAATTTCTGTCTATAACGATAACTAGTTTCTGTCTATAGTTTGATGCTTTCTTTAACCGATCAATACATACTCTAATACGAACACATATCTGTAACAGTCAAATGTAGGCTGAATGTATGTTTCGAGTGGAGGTGTAAAAAGGCGATATAAATCTAAAATATATTGTGGGTGGGCATGCGCAAAAGAAAGTGGAAGTAAAGAGGAAGAGGGAAGAAGAAACCTCTGATAATGACTAAATTAGTCACGCCTCTGATAATGACTTACTTAATCTGATAATGACAAAGTCACACCGCTGATCGCCCACCACTCGCCCACTATATAAACACTTGCATTTCAACACGTCACAAGACCAAGTCCAGTTGAGGAATTCATCAATACATCATCAACACATCAGACCCCAGACTCTAGCCAGAAATATTCCAGCAGTTGCCAGATCAAATGTCTCCTAAACTTTTTATTCTCTGCCTTATGGCAATGCTGGTCAAAAATTCTATTCCAGAGAAAAGTAAGTCGAGCGATTTTATTTGAATCCCGCGTTCGTTGGATGCGACTTAGAGCATTTCTTCCTCTTCTTCGTACTCATTTGTAATGTTGGGCGTGATTACAGCTGGTTCCACAGCAACCACAATACTTTTCTGTATTAGTTAGGGGGAGGGGAGGCTCTAGCTAATTATACACCGCCCACAACACTATTCTATATATTGAGAGAAGGGGGAATTCTAGCCATTTACACCCCGTCCCCCTACAACACCATTGTTTTATATTACTTGAGGGGGCGTTCTAGCAAGTTATACACCGCCAACAATTCTGTTTAATGTGATCTCCCACAGGTTACACTTGTCATCTACAAAAGATTGTAGGGCCGTGTAGGGCAAAACTACCCAGATACTACTATAATATGGAATCGGGCCGCTGCGAAAAATTTCATTACGGCGGCTGTGGAGGGAATGGAAATAATTTCAGAAACAGGAAACAGTGCGAGTTTGTCTGCGAATCCATCGGTATGTCGCTGTCTATGTCATGTGTGCGTGTGTTCATGCGTATACACGTGTACGTGTGCATGTACGTGTAGGAGTACATGTATGTGTATATGTATGCGTGTGTATGTGTGTATGTGTGGTAATGTGTATGTGTGGTAATGTTGGGGGTGTGGGTGGGGTTACGTGTGTGGGTGTGAGTGGAAATGAGCGTGTTTAGGAGCTGGTGTTAGTATAATACAAAATGCACGTGATTATTATTTTAACATATTGATCACACTTCAAAAATTTCTAGACCCTATCTGCTCGCTTCCACCGGACGAAGGAGAATGTGAAGCCAGTTTTGAGGCTTATTATTATGACGAGGAATCCAGAAAGTGCAAGCAATTTATCTACGGCGGCTGTGACGGAAATGAGAATAGGTTTGACAGCAAACAAGAATGCGAAGAATTCTGCGTCAGGACAAACAAATTTGATTGAGCTTGATTTGGAAAATCACACAACTGAAACTAATGTACTAATAAATTAATCAAAGAAACAATATGTGAAATTTTATTGTATTCATATTTTTATAGAAATATTATCTTATTTTAACTACTTTAAAAATGCATCAATTAATTTTAAAAATAGGCATCAAAACCACCAGGTAGCCTTCCATACACTAGACTAGTCCCTTGCATATTGCTATACCGAGATTTTATTCTTCAACCAACTCTTAAGAGAGGCATACATCTGAACAACGATACCACACGACTTACACAACACATTAATGCAGCGCATCAAAACATGAACAGGAAATTGTCGTTTTTTTTCAGTCTAATATAATAATGCAGGCCAACACAACGTATATCACAGTGCCATGCATTTGACAATACTAGTTCTGATAATAAACAAAATTAGAGAGTTAAATTAATAGATATAAAATACAAATAAAATAATTATGAAAATCTTTTAAGCAACGACTGCAAACGTTTTTTTTTTTTGTTGAATCTGCATGTGTGTATGTGTGTACTTTGGGATTTTATTTCTACGTGTTGTTTTTTTCTTTTTGTGCATGTGTGCGTATATGAGTATGCTAGGTGGAATGTGTGTGTATCTGCATCAGAGGCGTAGCTAGGGGGGGACGGGGGGCGGACCGCACCTGGTGACACTATTTAAGGGGGTGACACCAAGTCAAAAAAATAGTAAAATATATAGAGAAAAATGATAATTCCACTTAATTAAGTGATTAATTCAAGTGTTTAATCGAAAGTTTGAGGGGTGGGGGGGGGGGGGCTGGGCTGCAATTCGAAAGTCTGAGGGGGGGGGGGGGGGGTTGCAAATTAAAAATTGAAAGTTTGTTCCCGGGAAGGTTCGCTACGCCTCTGGGGCGTGACACCATTAAGTGCCGCACCTGGTGACACTCGACCTCGCTACGCCACTGATCTGCATCATGAGTTTATACTTTCCAATTAAATACTTTGATTAACTACATCAAGCCCGTATCCCCCACCCCAAGTACTAGTTGAATTAACTAACCCAAGCCCATAAACACCCCACCCCCAGTACTAGTTGGATTAACTACCCCAGGCCCGTATCCCCCACCCCCAGGACTAGTTGGATTAACTAATTCAGGCCCGTATCCCCCACCCCCATTACTAGTTGGATTAACTAAATTAACTAAATCAGGCCCTTATCCCCCACTCCCAGTACTGGTTGGATTAACTAAATCAGGTCCTTATCCCCCACACCCAGTACTAGTTGGATTAACTAAATCAGGCCCTTATCCCCCACCCCCAGGACTAGTTGGATTAACTAAATCAGGCCCGTATCCCCCACCCCCAGTGCTAGTTGGATTAATTAAATCAGGCCCGTATCCCCCACCCCTAGTACTAGTTGGATTAACTAAATCAGGCCCGTATCACCCACCCCCAGTACTAGTTGGATTAACAAAATCGGGCCCGCATACCCCACCCCCAGTACTATTTGGATTAACTACTCCAGTGCTGTTTCCCCCACCCCCAGTACTTCTCCCTGACTAAATTTCTCAAGCCAGTAACTCACAAGTGACAGAAAATTGCTTCGGCCCCGCCAGGTGACACCCCTCCCCTCATGACAAACAAAATTCAAGTCAGCAAACTTGTCTCGGGTCCCAATACAATTTTTTTGTTAAGCTTGTTTTAAAAGGTTAGTCTGGTCAATTGCGAAAGCATCAAATAAATATATAAATAAATAAACAAGTTGAAAACAAAATTTTCTTTAGGAAAACGATCTCAAACAGAGTATCTGAGATGCAATTTATCCAGCAAAACGTCTCAGAAAGTTATGTGAAGCAAATATCTCATGAAAATTATCTCAGTTAAAATAATATCAGACCCAATATCTCTGAAATATTATCTGAGATAAAATATTTCAGATAAAATTTATTAGATACAATTACTTACTATATTAATCCACAACTCCACCATACCTACATGTGGGGCATAAGGCAGCAAAACAACTCCAGCATGCCTACATGTAGGGCATAAGGCAGCAACACAACTCCACCATGCCTATGTGTCGGGGCATAAGGCAGCAACACAACTCCAGCATGCCTACATGTGGAGCATAAGGCAGCAACACAACTCCACCATGCCTACATGTGGTGCATAAGGCAGCAACACAACTCCACCTTGCCTTTGTGTCGGGGCATAAGGCAGCAAAACAACTCCACCATGCCTACATGTGGGGCATAAGGCAAAAACACAACTAAACCATGCCTACATGTGGGGCATAAGGTTGCAACACAACTCCACCTTGCCTACATGTGGGGCATGTAAAAAACAAATTAACTTCATTCAAAAGTCGACGAGTCGGATATTAAATTGTATGTCACAGATGGTGGGGCTAATTAGATGTATCACCAGTTAAGGTGTGTGTCTGCCTAAATGAAAACCAAAAATGTCTACCTAACCTAAATGTCATTCAGCCACTGTTAACGGAAATGTCCTATAACCAATGTTTATCTAGGTGTCAACTAGTCATAACAAAAATGTCAACTAACAATTTTTTTAACAAAATATTGCCTAGTCATTGCTTACCTTAATGTCACCCAGCCTTTGTCTGAATAAATGTGATCTAGCTGTTGTTAACAAAACAGTCACATAGCCATTGTCTACTTCACTGTCCACTAGTCATTGTTAACCAAAATGTCATCCAACAATTTTTTAAACTAAATGTCACTTAGCCAATGTTTAACTAAATGTCACAAAAACATCATCTTTTAATCACGCTCAATAAAGCTAGTTTATTTATTTTTAATTCTTTTAACCCCAATAAAAACAAAGTTTGTTTCCTGACATAGCAGTCTATTGGTCTGATAAATATAATAACACGTAGGCCTACATTCTCAAACTGTTCAAATAACATTTTCATTTAGACATAGCGGTCTATTGGTCTGATAAAGATTATAACACATACATTCTCAAACTGTTCAAATAACATTTTCATTTAGACATAGCAGTCTATTGGTCTGATAAAGATTATAACACATTCATTCTCAAACTGTTCAAATAACGACACGAATGTCTTGTTCCGAATGTAAAGATCTTCATAACTGAGGACCAAACCATTAAATAAAAGAAACAACTAAAAAATTGGCAATAACAGGCATATTAAGTTAAAACTGAGTATTTGAGACGTTAAACAGTATAGATATTGTCACGGCCTTTTTGTACTGTCAACTTCATGGCACAAACTCATCACTGTTGTGTTATTACATATTAAGGCCTGATGGATAACACCAAACAACTCTTTTCTTGGTAATGTACACAATTTTATTGATTCAAAGATACAGCAGCTTCATAACCAAAACCACGCCATTTCTTCTTCCCTCTTCCTCTCTACTACCACTTTCTTTTGCGCATGCCCACCCACAATATATTTTAGATTTATATCGCCTTTTTACACCTCCACTCGAAACATACATTCAGCCAACATTTGACTGTTACAGATATGTGTTCGTATTCGATTATGTATTGATCGGTTAAAGAAAGCATCAAACTATAGACGGAAACTAGTTATCGTTATAGACAAAAACTAGTTATCGTTATAGACAGAAGCTAGTTATCGTTATAGACAGAAACTAGTTATCGTTATAGACAGAAACTAGTTATCGTTATAGACAGAAACTAGTTATCGTTATAGACAGAAACTAGTTATCGTTATAGACAGAAGCTAGTTATCGTTAAAACGGGTAACAAAACTCGTAGAGTCCATTTAGACAGTTCAGCCGAAAGCTAATCTAGCTAGTCACACCTCTGATAATGACTAACTTAGTCACGCCTCTGATAATGACTTACTTAATCTGATAATGACCAAGTCACACCGCTGATCGCCCACCACTCGGCCACTATATAAACACTTGCATTTCAAGGAATTCATCAATACATCATCAACACATCAAACCCCAGACTCTAGCCAGAAATATTCCAGCAGTTGCCAGATCAAATGTCACCTAAACTTTTTATTCTCTGCCTTATGGCAATGCTGGTCAAAAATTCTATTCCAGAGAAAAGTAAGTCGAGCGATTTTATTTGAATCCCGCGTTCGTTGGATGCGACTTAGAGCAATTCTTCCTCTTCTTCGTACTCATTTGTAATGTTAGGCGTGATTACCTCCAACTCAAGGTGGGTGGGGTTCAAGGGTTCAAGCCGCCCACCACACTGTTCTATATATTGGGAGAAGGGGTTATTCCAGCCATCTACACCCCGTACCCCCTAGAACACCGCCAACAATTCTGTTTTATGTGATCTCCCACAGGTTACATTTGTCATCTACAAAAGATTGTAGGGCCGTGTAGGGCAAAACTACCCAGATACTACTATGATATGGAATCGGGCCGCTGCGAAAAATTTTATTACGGCGGCTGTGGAGGGAATGGAAATAATTTCAGAAACAGGAAGGAGTGCGAGTTTGTCTGTGACCCCATCGGTATGTGTCTGTTTCTACGTCATGTCTGCGTGCGTTTATGCGTATACACGTGTACGTGTGCATGTACGTGTAGGTGTACATGTATGTGTATATGTATGCGTGTGTATGTGTGTATGTGTGGTAATGTGTATGTGTGGTAATGTTAAGGGTGTGGATGGGTGTGGGGTTACGTGTGTGGGTGTGAGTGGAAATGAGCGGGTGTAGGAGCTGGTGTTGGTGTGTGTGTGGTAATGTTGGAGTGTGGGTGAGTGTGGGGTTACGTGTGTGGGTGTGAGTGGAAATGAGCGGGTGTAGGAGCTGGTGTTAGTGTGTGTGTGTATGAGCGTTGGCGCCGGAATAGACTTGCATGTTCTGAAGCTGTAGCTATTATTGTTTCTCTTGTTTTTGTTGTTGTAGTTCGGTTGTATGTATGATACAAAATGCACGTGAGTATTATTTTAACATATTAATCACACTTTAAAAATTTCTAGACCCTATCTGCTCGCTTCCACCGGACGGAGGAATCTGTTTAGCCAGATTTGTGGCTTATTATTATGACGAGGAATCCAGAGAGTGCAAGAAATTTACCTACGGCGGCTGTGGCGGAAATGA